AAGGTCATGGTGATGAATTTACAGAAAAAAATAATTGTCTAAAGAAAAGGGAATTGAATAGCTACATTTGTATCAAAATTAAATAGCTACATTTGTATCAAAACTAAATAGCTACATTTGTATCAAAAGTAAATAGCTACATTTGTATCAAAAGTAACATTTGTATCAAAAGTAAATAGCTACATTTGTATCAAAATTAAATAGCTACATTTGTATCAAAAGTAAATAGCTACATTTGTATCAAAACTAAATAGCTACATTTGTATCAAAACTAAATAGCTACATTTGTATCAAAAGTAAATAGCTACATTTGTATCAAAATTAAATAGCTACATTTGTATCAAAAGTAAATAGCTACATTTGTATCAAAACTAAATAGCTACATTTGTATCAAAATTAAATAGCTACATTTGTATCAAAACTAAATAGCTACATTTGTATCAAAACTAAATAGCTACATTTGTATCAAAACTAAATAGCTACATTTGTATCAAAATAAACAGGAGAACTAACACTTCTCATCAAAACTTCAGAAAGAGCGAAGTTTCACCATTTGCTTTTATAACTGTTTTAAATCCAAGTGTTGACATTGTGAAAATTCCATTTTACAACAAATGAAAATTTAACATACATGTAAGCAAGACTAAAGATAGAGGTAAACCAGCCAATCATTTACAATAGAAAATCTATAGCAACTTTTTAAATCAATGAATTCGCTATGTCACTCTGCATCTATTTTCTGTATATATAACGTAGCAGATTTTCCGTTTTGTCTCCATTTTGGTTTTTATACATAGCAGATTTTCCGGGTTTAAAAAAAGAAAATATATGCAGCAGGAGTTATTTTTTCTAAAGTTGTAAGAAGTTCCGTTTTGTCTCGATTTTTTTTACGGTTAGATTTTTTGTTTTCTCCATGTTCCTTTTTTATCATTATTTTTTTAACTTGGCAGTATTTTTTTTTTTTTGTGTTTTTTTATTATTTCTTATATCAAGTTTGATTTGCGTTTTGTCTCTTTGCGTATGTGACTATATAAATCTTTCCTTTGTCGGAAAAATACTAATCTTGATCTCGTCCTAAAATAAATAATAAATATGAGGTGTAAAACAAAAATACCGTAATCTATCAGGTTTGAGATAAGGGCAGGTAAATCTAACTAATTCTCAGGTAATACTTAAGGTAAATATTGACAAATTAGATGTAACAATGTGATGATTAAAACAAAGAGAATGTCTGAGCAATGCTTATAACATGTTTCATTCCGACTGTCAAATTTTGATTCGTGCATTAAAGTGACAAATATTCTAATCGTCAAGGTCTTGTACAAGCCTTGGCATTGTAAAGTCTTAAGCACCCTATATGTATCCAGTATATGAACAAGCTTGCACCATTTTTGCATATTTTATACTGAAATGTTTGACATTTTTGTCAAACGTCCCAAGTTTGTTATTTGCTATTTAGCTATGTCCATGTTTTGCCATGCATAAAGAAAAAAAAACCAATAGCAAATCTGATAACTACATAAGAAGGAGATACATGTATGAAGTAATGCAGTTTATTGTCATTCCAATTTAAAATGTGGAAAATTTTGCATTGATAAAATTCTTTCAAATGTTTCAATAGTACAAAGTCCACAGTTGTTTGGTCCTGGAAAACATAAAATAAGATCTGCATACAAGTATACCAAGGGTATAAGAAGGAATTTTGTCAATTTAAGTTTCATTCCTTTCCAATGTAAATTGTATGATATTTTGTGTTGACAACCTTCCCGATATTTAACAGTGGTAAATTCCATATTTTGGAAACTTTAAATATCATTGTGAGCAAAGAAAAAGGAAGCGTGCACAACATTGTTTCGTTGATAACGTTACCTCACTCACAGAATAGAATACCAAAATCGATATTTTGCATGCAGTGAGGGAAAAAAATCAGATAAAAATGGCAGGTTTCCTACATAGTTTATAAAGAAAAGTCATCTATTTGTACTGATAGGTGTTAAACATCACCCGGAACATAGTTATGATATGCATATGCAAGACAGTATATATTTAGTATCAATACACACTGCTAACTGTGTATATACGAATAGACAGGCGAAGCCTAATTTTTAAAATGTTATAGCTCATTTTGTCTACCAGACATTATATATAATGAATCTGCATGAGGCTATAATTTTCCTGCTTTTTCGTCATAATCGAGTACTTAGCAGAAAAGCAACAAATATGAGTTTCTTTGACGAAACCAATGCAATCACGCCACCTCGAGACCACAGATGCAGTTTGTATGAATATTCAGATTTTTCCAGAATCTACCGATTAAGCTATAATAGATCAGTTTTCAGAAGTAAACCTTTTTAAACCGATAGAAACAAAATGAAAAAAATAATAAGGGGTCTTAAATGTATAATTCCTATAGAGATTTGTTTCAATTGACCAAATGATTGTCGGGCACATGATGACCAAAAGAAAGTTTCCAGTTATGTCTATTGCTCATAGTGGCTCTTGGTCTGGTGTACTAAAAGAACAGACAGGACCTAATAACAAGAAAGGTTAGTGGCAAACATTAGAACAAATAATGCGAATAGAAAAGAGAGCACAAATTGAACTGGATCAAACAGTCAAAATGAATAGCAGATAGTACATTTAAAAAAGAGTCATTATCATTCAGGCGTTGAGTCAACCATTCTTGATAAGACATGGACAGTAAGCTAAATAATTTGATTTGACGAAAGTATTAATTGCAAGGTTTAATTGTTATCAGTTTCTGTCAATCTATGACCATATTTATTTATGTTTATCTCATAAGACATAAGAAAAGCTTTTAAAAAAACTTTGTCCTAACAACTTTCGATAGAAACTTTGCTGTAAAATAAATATTGAACTGCAGCATTGTTATTTACCCTTTTAACTTTTTCCGAGTTTCAAAAAAAAAAATTTGAATTATGCAATTAAACGAATGTTATATATATAGATTCATAATTTATATAACTATATCTAAAAAGTACTTCAAAGTCAAACACTAGCCATATAGACATTCAATGCACGAATTCAACCAAAGTATTGGATTTCTTCCTTTGTGTAATCTATCCTGAAACCTCCTTTTCAATATATCAGGTTGACGTGGGTATATAGAGTGTATTTGTCCCAATTATTGTACAAGAATACATCGATATCAGAATTTTTATAAGTTATAGAAAATACATACATAATGTATATCCAAAACCAATGCATTACTCAACATCGAACTTCTCATAGAGCTGTTCATATATAAATCTCTAATTGATTTTTGTATTGCTGTATGAAAAGAGGGAGATGTGGTATATACCGTATGATTTGCCAATGAGACTATCCACCAGTCTAGTGTAAATTACGTGGATATAAGCATATAAAGGTCACCGTATGGCCTTCAACAATGAGAAAAACCAATACCGTATAGTCGGCTATAAAATGCCCCGACATGAAAAATGGGAAATGATTTAAACTAGAAAACCAACGACCTAAACGTTTTGATATACAAGTTCGTATTTTTATATGATTCATCAGGAAGGTGTGATTGATTTTTGAATTAAAAGATATGGAGGTGCGATGAAAATAAGACAGACTGACTAACTTACAAGAACAAAACCAAACTATTGTTATCCCTACTGGATATTTGTCCCCTTTTCTGTATTGTAAATTCTCTACGTTCGGAATTTTCTGCAAATTTAAAATTATATTTACATCACTTCGTTTTGAATATAATCAGTACCTTGCAGTTAATATGATGAAGTAAAATGTCATAATATTGCTTTTTTTTTTCGAAAACTTACAAATATCATTTTAAAATGTAATGACTGAAAAAATTATATCAAAGTAAATGTTTTGTTTTTTTATTAGTTTTAATTCTTTTTAATCCGACTGAATTTGAACTTCTTCATCTATATATAGAAGTAAAAATTTTTAAAACGTGTATTACGATAAGATAATAAAACATATAGTATTCCAAATTTGAAAATGTTTTTCTATATTTCTTTGCACATTTCAATCATATGATTTTGTTTTCCCTGTAAATCTTAAAGATGGCTTATACTTGAACATGTCCGCATGAAACTATGGCTATTTTCTTTCTTATTCTGGTCTGGGAGATTTTACACTGTATCATGTCGGGGCCTTTTCTAGCTTATATATATATATATACTATACGGTTTGGGATTTTCTCATTGTTGAAGGCCGTACGGTGACCTATAGTTGCTCACACGTCATTTGGTCTCTGGTAGATAGTTGTCTCATAGACAATCATACCACGTTTTCTTATTTTAAATAGAAAACAAATAGCTAATTCATCATGTTATTATAAAAACACTAGGGTTAAAATAAGGTGTAAGCAAGAAAACTGTAAAATTTCACATGAAAAGTTTGTTTTGTTCGAACTTTCCTTTTTGACATTTTGTGGAAGACGGTTTGAAGTGTTACCCAATTCATTATATCACTTGGTTCGTCTCTCCCACTAGGACATCCTTCAAAGTGGCAATTATATTTAAAACATTTGTCCATTTAATAAAAGCTAATTGTACTAAAAATCTGAAATACACATTTTTAAACTTATATCAAATCATTATTTATACAAGCAATTGACAGAAATTGAATATAAAGGTTGTTGCATTAAATGTGTAAAAAGGACGGAAAGCAAGGCGCCCCTTTGAGAAGGTTCGTGTTTATTTCATCGCCAGTTAATCTGTTAAACCTGTCGAATTTCACAAGTGATTGACAAATACAAGATATTTGTGTAAATAAATGGGAGGAGATAGTCATGAAAAACAAAAAGGTAATTAGGATGTGAATGACCACGTGACTTTCACGGTGATGGGGTGGATACCTTCTTGACAGGTAATAATATCTGTAATATGCAAATATTCATGTTGGAGACCCATTGGTCTATGTGCATCATAATGCTGGGATATAATTAGCGAAGTTAAATATAATTGTAACAGTTCTAAATTGGCCTGCTAAGGACCGACAAATTTACTGATTTCCTCTACAATTAGCATAAGTGAAAAATTAATTACCAACATTTACAAACTGTATTTGGACTATGAATACACAGCAATCTATGAGCTTCCAGACCCCGTACAATAATGGAACACTTTACAGTCCACCACAACAGAGACAGTCTTTTGCAATCCATGAAATTCTCGGACTGCCAAATTGTCGACAGAACCAGAGCCCAGACTTTCTAGATGCACAGGGATACACTAACATATCGTATGTACCAGGACTAACACCGACCTCTCCATACCAAACAGGCAATGTTGGATTTGAAACACAACCACAAGGTTTTTACAGAGACCAGACTGTTCCACAGGGTACAAGTACTTCTTTTTGTCCATGGAGACTGGATACGGGGACAGTTACAGCCCAAACATATTCTACAGGTACCCCACGGTACACAGACAACATGGGGTACGGAGTCAAGGCACCGGCCTTGGACGAAGGTGAGTTTACGTTCCTTCTATACTTTTGTGAGTTAAGATCATACTAGCATTATGAAGTTTTAAGATTATTAGTAATGTCTGGGAAAACTGAAATGGGGAGTGAGTCTCATTTTTAAGAAAATCAAATACTTTGAACATAGAAAAAAATCTAATACTGTACTTCTTGTGTATGTGGTTCCATTTAAGTAGTCAGAAGTATATATATTTTTTTCTGATATTGTTTAAATAATGATTATTCATGGAATTTATGACAGAAAAATAAAACTTTTACTATTTGTCCTCAGACGAGTAACCAATTCTGGTTTAATTGTTTAGAATTATATTTCATTTGAATAATTTTCTTTTTTTTGCATTTCGATCTTTTACAAAATCAAAAATAGTTTACAAAATGAAATAATACTGAAAACCCGAATTTTTAGATGTCCCTTTATCCGTAGGTCGGATATATAAATGCATGCATCAAAGTTGGTGAAATTAAGGACAAATAAACAAATTTAAATTATACATTAATATTAAAAGCTGTCAGACTTCATGTTATTTTTAATCTATCACAAGTCATATTAGCTTATCCAGTTGGTCTAGCTGTTTGCATTCATATTCAAACATTTATCGGTGATGTTTTTAAGTTTCAATTACATGTAATATGGACATGACTATTTCTAACATGTACTAGCTTTTCTATGGCGTCAACAAACATTTTGACTGGCATCTTGTTATGAAAAAATATATTCAACATTTGCTCCAGAATAATAATTCTTAATAATCTACATGTAATATGCATTGTGTATGACACTTTATTTTTGTGTCAATTTTTATCTATGCTTGAATTAAGGAAAATAAATCTAATGATTTTGCTTAAATAACAAGATAAGCGGCATGTTTTATATTTCATACGTATCTTTATAAATAATACGAATGAATATGCATTAGCGAAACTAAAGGGGGTTGTTTCCTATGGTTTGATGTTTCGAGCATTTAGCTGGAACTTCTCTTCCCAGTGCTCATCTTGCACATATAACACCGAGAGCCCCTTTGATATGATATTTACAGCAAATGTATATTTTAAAACATGTTAGAGGGGTCTAAATACAGCACAAACAACATTTTCCAATAGACCAAAAAAGTGAAAAAGTATATTTTCACAAAACACATTTGACTAGCAGGTCGAACAACTGATGTTCTTAAACCCTGCTGACTGCCATTGGCGATTGCCAAATAAACGGATCATCAGATGTAACAAAATGGATTTTATTATTAATTTATTACCAAACAGAAAACAATAAGTTTGCGGAAAAGAACGTTTGAACGTTGTTTTCAATTTAGACGTGTTCTAAAACATGTAATATACATTATAACTTCTCTGATTCAGTTACATCGAATACCATTTTTAAAACATTTTGAATTAAATTAATTTTAAATAAAAATAAAAATCGAATTTACTAAACATATATAACAGTAAACTTGTAAAAATGGATAATTGTAGGTATTTCATAAGTAAAGAAAAAAATAACCGCTAGTTGCCAGTTTACCTCAGATTTTTACCGACGTTCGTGTAAGGCCATAATCATGCTAAAATAAAGCCTTTATTATTTCTCCCTTGGAATATTCTTCTATAGTTCTTCACATCTTCTGTCGTAGCCTGGCATCCTGACCCAATCTTAGGTCTAATACTTCGTCGATAACTGTCAAGCAGTGAGCCATGATCCGAGGCTACTTCTGTCGATGCCACTGCTGGTGGACAATTTGTCCGCGATGACATCATCCTCCACGTATGCAATAACGAAGGTCAGCTTGAATACCGCTGTTTGAATGTCTCCTTGATATATCTTCTTCCCTTTTTTTAATGTTTACATGTTTTGTTGTTTTTTCTGACTTGCAAAACACGGTCATGTCCTTGATTTGTCAAAAGTTAAAATATTCCAGATGTTTCCTTACGTCCGGTCATGATATTTTCAAACTTTGAAGTTCCTGTTTTCATTTTTGTTCCCCATCTGCATGTGCTGAATATGATCTTATTATTATACCAACTTCCCGGATTTGATATTCAGTAAATATACATTTTACTGGCCGCGTAAAAATAAAAATAATTTTAGTCATTAATAAAAGTAAATAACTTAACTTTTCAATTATAAAAATTACAAGAATAGCAAAACCTTGAAATCATACCATTTCATATAACATACAATAATATACAAATGTAAAGCATCGCAAAATGCTAAAAAAAAACAAAGAAGGAAACGGTAAAAGTGGAAAAATAATGTTAGCTTGTTCAATGCTATTATCACTCGAATAAAATGTGTAAAAAAATCTACCGTTATGCTAGACCTAAAAGGTATTCTTTTCTGTGTTTTTTTTCCGGTTTGAAACGAATAACTGCGGGTTGCTTTCTAAACGACTAGCGGCAAATATTTCATGTATTACTATATGGATATGCATGTTTAGAATAATGAATGAATGACGAAATGTTATACATGAAGAAATTAATTTGGAATTGATTCGTCCACAGTCTGATTGAGATTCTAACCAATTTTCAGAAAACTTTATCTTCTAATATATGATACATGTAAATAGAAAGTTAAATTAACAAAACGTTTTTTCAACAGGCTAATATTAACATGCAGATAATTATTTTTATATTTATACATGTTATTAGTTTTTGTTTTGAAATAACTAAATTAGAATTAAATAACACAATTTCCCCTTGTCTAATCAAGAAAAAAAATCACAGTTTTGCATTCAAATACATAATAATATAAACAGAAACCACTTATATCCCATATGTTAAACATTTATAATTGGAAAATAATATCATATTTTAAGATTTAGTTGCAATTATTACAATAAGTGTAGTGTTTTTATCTTATTTTTGTTTTTTTGTTTTTAATATTCTGGTTTTTTTTCTTCTTTTCCCCTTTCTCCGCATTTCATTTAAAGAAAACAAATTATTTATTGAAATTAAATTATTTCACCTGAGTGATATTTATAAGATTTTTCGTATATTTAATTTTCAAACGTTGTTTCTACCGGGAACAGTTACAAGCATATATCAGTATTTTCATTGCTTTTAGAGTCAATATTTAGCCAATTATCGCATTATTCTAAATCCATTGAAGAATTATTTGTTGGTTTAGGAGGGATTACAACCCTAACATCAACTAATACAATTTGTTTTTATTTCCTGTAATGCGGAAGAGATTAAGTTATTCATACCTGTAAGAATAATCGAGTTTTATCAATGAAATATTTGGCGTATTAGTAAAAACTTTATTGAAATTATGCAAATATGCATTTTTGCCCTCTTGTTTTTTTCTTCGCTGGATCAAGTTTATGTGTGAATTTAAACTAAATTTTACGACCGGAGGTTGGAAATACTGGGGCGATTCTTTATATAAACAAGGAGATATCGTATGATTGCCAATGACACAAATTTTAACTAGAGACCAAAGGACGAAAATGTAAACAGCTATAGGTGTTCATAATAAGTATAAGATTATTAATAACATTCAACTTTTCAACGGAAACTTCCGTTTGTGTTTTGTGTGTGAACTATGATACTGAAATTCTTGTAAAGGTTTATATGTTGCCTCTATATGTCTAGTTTTGTCGATGGGTTGCTGTAATCTCCTTTTACTCGTATGAAAATAATTATACGGTAAAATAAAACATAAAATTAATTTCAATACATTTTAAAATAATACAATTCATAAATACTCTATTAGTCGTTATTATGATTGATTTAACTGCTAAATAAGAAAGATCTGAGAAAATGATGTATTCCTTGACTTAGAAAGTAAAATTGTGGAAAACGTGTTATAATTCACACGTTATAACAATTTATTAAACAAACTAATTTGACGGTTTGTCTATTAGATTAAAACCGGCGAATTTCGCCCAGTTAGCCTTCCAATTATACGAGCAGATATTGTCATTAAACAAGTCGGTAACGACACGGTTGCCATTTGCTTATTGACATGAGTACAAAGATGGCCAATTGAGCAGAGATGATGTTTTGTGCGAGTACCGCGGGAAGTCGTGGTCTAGTGCGATCTTTTGTACCGGAGGTGATATCATACCGTGAACACGGACAAAATGACAATACAATTAACACTATAACCTGATGACATCTTCACGTTGGACGTATAAACACCGACCATTTATTACGCGGCACTTGATCGGTCCTTCAGCTAATTCCTGATGGGAACAAACGTCCTGGTAACCTGTTATGTTAATGCACTGGTGTTCACGTCAATGCTGCATTTTAATTAAAAGGAAAAAAAAGGAAAAAAAAACTGGTCAAGTAGTTTGTAAAATTCGTAATATTTGCTTTTTGTCGTATCAATTGCTGACATTTTCAAGGGGGTCAAGATCATTAAAACGTTAAACATATTATTATTATCGTATGTAGTTTAAAATGAAATTTAAAATAACTTCTTGTTAAATATTCAATCAGTAATTTTCTTATGAAATCCGTGGTGTTCTTTTTTCTCCTTTTTTTATATTTTGTTTGTTTCATTTGTTTACTTCTTTGTTTGTTTGTTTGTTTGATTTTTTTTTATATTTAACAGATAACGTCGTTTAAGATACGCAGGTCTTTGTAATGGGTAATATCTGGGTATTTCCACCATTCAAGTTTATGGGTTACCATCGTTATTTTCTTTTACTGATCGTGAAATCAATGTATATCTTTGAATGCGTTCGAAGATGCTACCTTATTCACCGGGGCTCGGGATTTCTCGACAAAATTGGTTTTTTTTCCAGTGCTTCAATTGGTTGAAGAGCACATATCGTTATAAAATAGATTTCCCGATCCCCTATACCGTATTTTTAACCTTGGATGATAATTTCATTTTTAAAATATAAATCAGACATTTTTTAGTTAAATATGGGTTTTGATAGATAACGCAGATAAAACATTGCACATTTATATTCAACCACATATGATCATATACTTCGTTGTTGACGGATGCGATTATTTCATGTGAAGATTTGATAAACACAAATTTCTGTTTAATATGAATACATAAATTTCAATTGTTATCTTATTTCAATCAATATGAGAGATGATTAAAACTGTCATTTATACTTGAAAATTTTAAGATGTTTCTTTGTCCTATGCTTTCAACAACATGTAGCTGCAGATGAAATGTTAGGAACTTGCAGATATTTTTTAAAGCGATATTTCGGCAGGTGAATTTGCTCAGGTTTAGGATTGAAACCTAATTTTCCTCACTAATGACAGTTATAGTTTTTTTCCGATTTTCTAATAAAAATAAAAATTATGAAAAATTCAGCAAATATTTGAATCATCTAAACGGGTTCAATAGCACCTGGAATTCCTTATCAGGTTAAAACACAGAAAATCCATTTCTGATAGTCCGGGTGTTAGGAAGGAAAATTGGTTGTTAGTAACATCATTGTTGGATCAAAATGAGCAAGATCGTGTTAACAGTTTTAATCATGATGATTTGAATTTATAAGTTTTGTCTAGTCGCAATTTTCCACAATAAGCGTTCTCGCTCTATGGTTTTGCCCCTGCTTTTACGTACAATGATAATATACTCCCCTCCCATAAAGCTGTTTCAGTATTTTGCAAAAACAAATGGAAAAAATAAAATAAAATTCAAATCTTTAATAGTCAACTTATATTATTTTTACCTTGTACTTAACAATGTATTTTCAGTCGTGTTTTATACATCATAATTTATAATATCAAAACTAGACGGCATGCATTTCCAATCGTGTTGTAAATGATAGATATTGAAAGTTCCTTTCGACCCACTCTTACCGATTTCCATTTATCTTTCTATTACATGTAAAACTACATGTAAAATGAAAAACCAATGTCAACGTCCCGCTAATTATATTTAACTTTTAACGTATCTAGCCGTATACCAACATCGTACAGCGTTCGGAATGTTAAATCCACAAGACTTACGTCCGTTCTACCGGCTCTCGAGTTTTGTGTATTCAGATATTACCATTTATTTAAACAGTCTTGTCTTAGTCACATTAAAGTATACTTAAGTGGTTAACTGGTACCACAGATTATCTCAAGTTTTTGACACAATCGGTTTGGCAGCCATGACACTGGGCGCCATGTTCTGTGTCTTCGTCAGTGCCTTTTCCTGTCGTTTAAATCGTATTTGTTTGTTTTTCTTTTATCGTAATCAATATAATGAAGAGCTATTTAAAATACCACTTTAATTTTTACTTAAGTGAAAGCAAAAAGTACGTTTGTTTTCTTTTTAAATTCAATATCAAGGTTATACTTGACCTCAACATATTGTAGGCCCTAAATTAATAAAATGGCTTGTAATACATTTGCATGTAAAATTGATGTGGTCATTTGTCAGTCAGAAGTACTTCCGGTAAAATGTGGGGGTGTAAACAAACTATCCTTTTTATTATTGACAAGCATTTAAGATCTGTAGACTAGTTCAAAGAACTTTTCCTATGAATTGACCTTTGGCTTTTGAGGATATCGGTGTCGGTCAACCTTAGTGAAAGCAATTCCCTAAAGGACAAACATGTCGTGCATACCACCTAAATGTGTATTTATTAAACTGCTCGCTGATTCCCATTTTACATCTCAACATATTTATTTTCATAACTGCATGGTTAAGTATTATATGACAAGTATCGCACAAAAAAGCAAACAAAAAAAAACCAGACATTTTTGTTAATGTACGTCATTTTTAAAACATTGCAACAAATTACCAACTGTAATAGATGTTACATTCTTTGAGTTTTGCCCAAGATGGTCTCATCCGGAAACCCTGGAGCCGGAAACCCTCGATCCTCCACGGAGGATGTTTTCTATATATATATATATATGTTTATTTTGTTTGTATTTTCAGGTTTACAACGACCAGAATGTGCTCATCTTGAGAAAACAGAACAACAGATAAATAAAAAGCAGAAAAAGCGACGAAGACACAGGTATAATAATCAAACAAAATAAAGGTTTTTTTTTTATGTATGGCTTGCTCTCTCACTGACGCATACTCAAGCTTGCTCTCTCACTGACGCATACACAAGCTTGCTTTCATTCATATTGCATTATTTAATAGGGTCTTGTATACGGCAGTTGAAAAAGGAGGAGGGTATTTCTATATTTTTTTTTATTTTCAAAGCCTTTTTTCCCTTTTCTCTAATGTCCTATACTTTTTTATCATTCAAATCAAACATTCAACATGCAAGGACAGTAGTCCCGGGCCTTAAGCCATCATTTTATACCAAAATTACCCAAATATTTTACATATTTTTAAAGTTGCGCACGAACTATTTTTTTTTTAAATATGTACTAATTTCGTATATATGTTCTTCCGGGTCAGACCCTAATTAGTGTTTCTATATCATTACACGGCCTGAAGGGCACATTTTCGCTGGTTAATTGCGAAATGGTTTTTATTTTTTTTTTTTTTTTTTTTTTGCACTTGAGAGGAATACGTACCCATCTCCATACAATTTTTTTATCAAATGGAGAATGGTTGCGATTATTTTACCACGAAAAACTAAGCATTTTTCCATATAGCACATATTTTGTAAAAGACCTTGAACAGTTTGTAAGACGCCTCAACAAAAAATCTAAATGGTTCTGGCGTTTAAATGACAAAATTGTCGTTCTACATACAATTATACAATATCTTATATTTTTATTTTTTAAAAGATGAATTTTCTTTAACGATCTAATTGGAAAAACTAATTTCGTCATATCATCAAATTGATATACAATGCTTTATTATATTTCAAATTAAGCAAAACCGGAGAATAATTCAAAATTTAATAAGCGATGCATGTGCGTTGTATGTTATGTTACTTCCCTAGCAGTAATGTGATTGACTAGATGTCATGACCATGAAATAAACAACCTAATCATTTTCGCTCCAGCTCAGTCAATTAGTTCTTCCAGAATGCTTAATGTCCAAATTTGCTTCTTTATTAACGTTATAAGATCGACCGGTCTTCAGTAATTAAGGATAGTTACTGAAAATAAAAGGAAGGAGTAGTTATTTCATTTTCCAATTTAATCATTTCTGCCAATAATGTTTGAACTGAACAAATAATTGCTTGTTATGTTTCTATCTTCATTACCTTTTCTTAAACAGAAAGAAATGACAAACTGAATCTGGATATGAATTCAACATAAGTTACAAAACAAGGCAGGAGACGTTCAGAAACCGACATCCATTAATCATAAAGCTATTTGAAATTCACAAATGAGAAAAAAATCAAGATCGTTTCAAATGTAGTTTCCTTTTCTTTAGCCAAATTATTTCTATTAAGAAAAGTTAAACATGGATATAAAAAGCTAATGTATGCAATTACGACTTCTTTGTTTTACAATTTATGTATTCTATTCCGTACATGGATATGTATCTTTTAGGGACACGCTTGTGTAAAAAATGTAATGCACACAGTGCTAAAAAGTATATAACGTAGAGCTTTATATAGTGTAACAAATTACTCCGCGCTTAAAGAAAACCGTAACTCTTTTAAAGTCAAATTCTAAGATGATTGAAATGCATTTTATACATATAAGTTCCAAACAATTATGAATACATACTTTCCAATTTTGATTGAAATATGGATTAAAACAATTTCTGTCTCATGATTATAATGTTACATAATTGGTCAAGTTGAAGCCAGAGAAGGTCAGGCCAATTAAAACTACCAGCAGAACTTAAAAAAGTCGAAACGTTTTTGATCCCTTTTTTTTACCAGAATAGTTAGTTACATGAAACTAGTGTTTTAAGTTAAGTTTTAGTTGAGCCACTTTTGCTTGTGAAGTTTATTTGCTCTTTATATTAAATAAAAAATATGTCTGTCTTTATTAAAATCATAGCTACGCCGACACAGCATTATATGATTATGTTTAGTACAATCGTGAAAAAAATAATTAATGTCGGCTAAAAAATGAAAATGAATTGCTTCACAGTTGTCGTGTTGCATTATTTTCTGTTTTATATATAAAAACAATGGCTTTAATATTTTCTATTGTTACTTTTGCAGAACAATTTTTACGGGTTATCAAATAGAAGAACTAGAAAAGACTTTCAAAGAATCTCACTATCCGGATTTATATGCCAGGGAAGTTCTAGCTCTAAAAATTGATCTTCCAGAGGACAGAATACAGGTTAGAACATCACCGTCAACCATTGAGTTTTTTTATGCGTATAGTCTTATATCATCTCGTAAGGGTGAACAAAATTATATTGACTACACTTTTTCACTATTGTACTTCAGCAAAAAAAGCCCTGGATTCAACTTGTCCATACAGATGGTTTTCGTTTGAAGCAACAATATGCTTGCCTGAATGATAAAACGAATAGATAGACCAAAATAACAAGTACGTTTGATTAGGTTTTGCGTGTCTGTTTTTTTTTTCTTTCTTTCTTTTTTTGTAACTTGGTACTTTTGGTTCTAAACTTTTTTTTCGAATAAAACAAAATGATGAAAATGCATAAATATAAACCTTGCCTATTTTTTGAAGTAATGAAATTTTAAAACCCATTATTTTTATCTGGACGTAAATAATCAGACCTTTAATTTCCATGTTTTCTTCGTAACCTGATTAAAATTCTTTAAAAAATGTAATGTACGAAGCGAACTGAAAATTCTTTCTTAAAGTTAGAGAGGAAATTGTAGAGTTGTTATTTTTGCACCATGCTGTGTCTTATGTTTACATTGCATTTATTTAATCAAAATTGTTCCTACAATATCGAAGATAGTGGCACGTGCATGCATGTCACAAGCGATAAGGAACGGAAACTAACATGCCAAAATATGCTAGCTAGTTTGGAAAATAAACACCGAACATCAATATACTATTTTATCGTTGACCCCTAATGTGACCTTTATTTGTACATTTTATAATTATTTGTGTTTCTATCGAAACTGATAACAAAACAGCATATTTTGCATCTTTTTGTAAAAATTTCTTTCTTTTTTTTTCATTTTCACGGCCAATCTAAAAAAGTAAAACCTTTATCTTATTATCATGGATAAATATGTTTTCTAGTGTAAAATGTTTATCTTAAGTAAAATAATGTAGTACTAATTAAAATCACCAGCTTTTAGGCATACCTTGTGTATATATAATGAGTGAATGCAACACTTACCTGAAATATATCTTATAAAATGGATGCCTGATCTTGTTTCTTATTTCAGACATTTTGCGATTTTTAAGTCTTGTAATTTGAAATTGACATCGGTCTCAAAATTTTGCAATTGTAACTTAAATATTTTGAAGTAAACAAACTTAAACTTAACTTGTTCGTGTTATTCAAGTTCCCATTTTTTCAGTCAAGAAAATTCTAACATGGAATATTTGTTTTGTAAAATCGGTTTAATGATGTCCACCTTTCTATGATGCATATTTACTGTCGAGTCTGATCTATACACAGTTACATGCAAGTCAACCTTTCTATGATGCTTATTTACTGTCGAGTCTGATCTGTACGCTGTTACATACAAGTCAACCTTTCTATGATGCTTATTTACTGTCGAGTCTGATCTGTACACATTTACATACAAGTCAACCTTTCTATGATGCTTATTTACTGTCGAGTCTGATCTGTACGCAGTTACATACAAGTGTATAAATGTAAACATTAAATATTTGGTACTAAATTTGAAATATATTAATAGATATAAGAAGATGTGGTATGAGTGCCAATGAGAAAACTCTCCATCCAAGTCACAATTTGTAAAAGTAAACCATTATAGGTCAAAGTACGGCTTTCAACAAGGAGCCTTGGCTCACACCGAACAGCAAGCTATAAAGGGCCTCACAAATGACTAGTGTAAAACCATTCAAACAGGAAAACCAACGGTCTAATCTACATAAAAAAACGAGAAACGAGAAACACATATGAACCACATCAACCACTGAACACCAGGTTCCTGACTTAGGACAGGTGCAAACAAATGCAGCGGGTGTAAACGTTTTTTAATTAAGTCACTTTTCATTGTATTATAATGTTTTGATAGGTTTGGTTTCAAAACAAGAGAGCGAAATGGAGAAAAACAGAGAAGAGATGGGGAAAGAGCAGCATTATGGCGGAATATGGTCTCTATGGTGCTATGGTTAGACACGCCCTTCCGCTTCCGGAATCAATCATTAATACTGCTGATAAAGGAATCGAGAAATCGAGTGCACCATGGCTGTTAGGTAATGATGGTTTTATTTTTCGGTCATTAAGAAGATGCAAAGCATTTATTTAGTTAATACATTTAGTTTTATATTTTTGAAAGCATTTTAACGAATCTCCTCTTTAATTTTACTATCTTTTCCCGCCAAATAGGATTACAAAAGCCACAGTAAATAGAAATGACAGAATTGTTCATTGTCAATATGTATTTTTCCCCGTCGTATGATTATAATTTAATTTATATGTGTAGATAATGTCCAATACATTATTTGAAAATGATAATTATAAATCAACTCAATAAAGTACACGTAAGAAAGATGAAAACTGTTTTTAAATAGCAGCTTTCTTCTTGTTTTAGGAATGCACAAGAAATCGTTAGAAGCTTCGAAGAAAATACGGGAAGAAGAAGAAGATTGCGTTGATAACACGGACAATAAAAATACAGACTTCCGGTCTGAGAGTATAGCCCAACTTAGAGCCAAAGCCCAGGAGCATAATGCTAGATTATTACAGGCCTTGAACAAGACTGACCAGGATAAACAGTCGGAGGAGGAATGTAGTGATAATTCATTTGATGGATCATTTTTTTCTGACACAGTGGAATCTTCTGATCTTCTTAGATCGTAATTATTTGACATCAGATCTTCTCCGTCCATTCAGTATTTATTGCATAATTATTAATTTATAGAGTAAAGTGACGTAGCGTAACCGTTGAAATAATCCTTTATTTTCCATTTATGTGTATAAACTCGGGGACTTATTTTCAGGATACAATATTGCCATACAAACAAAAACAATATCGAATTCATGCTCGCTCTCATCACACAAGATGCGAACCGCCATTTTAAATCTTTTTACTCCCATCTCTTCTAATTGAACTGGACAGTGTATTCATATATCCACATATTAAGTGTATTTCATTGATTTAGCTGTGATTGTCCTGTATCAACAACTCACTAACTTATTATTTATACCATACATTATTTCTATATAAATATTATCTTTGGTCTCCTAACATGCAAAGTAGCAGGAAAGACAACCCACGTTTTTTGCAAAAAGAACTGTTTCTTATGAATATATTAATAAATCGTCAATGAGAAAAAACTTTGAAGCGATAATCAAAATGAAAGTTTAAAACCTTTGAGGCGGAGAATGTACACATTGTAGGTAGGGACATATAGCCCGTGTAAAGCTTGCTAAATTCAAGGTTGGTTTTTTTCTGAACCATGCTTATCTAGACAAACATTTTTTTCATGTACAATTCGTGTCCAAAATCAGTTCGCAAATCAAAGTCACTGGAAATAACCTGCGATCATTTCTATTTTATATGTTTCATTTATGTTTTATTTATTATTTTGTATTGCCAATTGGATGTTATGATTGTAATATATATATATATATCTTTGCTACAATGGTTATTGGTCTGGGTATAGACTAATGTGATCAGGTTGGGGTTTTTGTTGTGCAATATTGCAAGAATAACATATAAAAATATTATACTGTTCTAAATAACACTGTATTTTCACACCCTATTACCACTACGGCAGATTCAGTATGATCTTTGTTCCCGATTATCACTACGGCAGATTCAGTATGATCTTTGTTCCCGATTATCACTACGGCAGATTCAGTATGATCTTTGTTACCGATTATCACTACGGCAGATTCAGTATGATCTTTTTACCGATTATCACTACGGCAGATTCAGTATGATCTTTGTTCCCGATTATCACTACGGCAGATTCAATATAGTCTTTGTTCCCGATTATCACTACAGCAGATTCATTATGATCTTTCTTTGTTCCCGATTATCACTACGGCAGATTCAGTATGATCTTTGTTACCGATTATCACTACGGCAGATTCAGTATGATCTTTGTTCCCGATTATCACTACGGCAGATTCAGTATGAACTTTCTTTGTTCCCGATTATCAATACGGCAGATTCAGTATGATCTTTGTTACCGATTATCACTACGGCAGATTCAGTTTGATCTTTGTTCCCGATTATCATTACGGCAGATTCAGTATGATCTTTGTTCCCGATTTCCATTAAAACAATTGTTTATGAACGCCATTGCAATACAATGAATTAATCGTGGAATGCAGATTTTGATATGTATTATACCTATTGTATCTGCATTTATACCTATAGCCGATAATAGGGCGTGGTTTCTAGACACCTGTAATGAAAAAGAAGGAAAACTATTTATCATATGTTTATTTCACCAGTAGAGTAATTTTCAAAGAGTCCTTGAATCTTCTCTTAAATTTATTGTATCACTGCCGTGTGAAAACTGTATCTTCACTGCCTTATGTGTGGACTATGATCATCTGAAAGACTAACATTTAAGATCATTAAATTAAACTATTATGTTTAAGGATTACTCATAACTACAATTTTAATAGATTTTTTTTACCAATTTAAGTATTTATTCAAGAAATTAATAAGAAGGACATCTCAAACAAAGCTTAAAATTCGACCGATAGTATTCCCTAACCCTAACCTTAACCGATAGTATTCCACTGCTATTCACATTTTTTGTTGCATGTGTCTTACAATACAAAATTCACAAAATCATTTCAAATATTTTATCAAAATTTTCTTCAGCATAAAGGTTTATCTAACATACTTAGTTTTGGAACGAAATAAACAGATATAGGTACAGCAGTTAATTATGAAGACCTGGCACGAAAGCGAAAAAAAGTCAATTTTAAAACGCTTTGAAATGTTATATGAACACAATTTAAATTTTTTTAAATATATGCCTGGTCATAGGAGATAACAATCATATAAAATGCATTAAAAAAGGAGGGATAACACTTGAAATTACATTAGTATCTATACCAATTTTAGAACAAATATCTTTCTGATAAAATCATTTAGTTTTAAACTGATTTCATATTTATCATTTGTACCAGTAACTTAATGTAATGAGACCATTAAATCTGTAGGTTATATTTTACATATAGTATGTATCACTATTATAATGGACCCTGAATGAGGTTTTTTAGAAATAGCATAATACTTTGAATTCCACCAGAGCTCATCAACTTTGATATTATGACTCTGAGTGAAATGATACATTGATAAATAGCCACACCCCTCTGACCCGTTGATTGTTTACATTCCATTTTAAACTTCAGTCAATGGCATAATTCATAATTGTCATGTCATTACGTAGCATTATTTCATTTGAATTTATTAATAAATGTTTTGAAGAAGTTAGTGCAATATGCCAGTATCTTGCTGACTACTGTAAATAGAAATAAAAATGAAAACAAATTATGTTCTTGATTTCTTCAAACAGGTACAACAAGTTTAAAAATATAACTGAAAGTTAATTGTTCTTTTAAGTGTTCTCTTGCCCTTTCGTCTGACACAATAATATTCAACAAGATTCTATATAATTTTTGTAATGATGTTTTTTGAGTTAAGAGTTATTTCCCTTGGTCGGCAAGTTGGAGGGCAAAATTAAAACACATGGTACCAGCAAGTCTGATAAGAGATCCTAACTACATTTTAGATTGTAGTAATGACTTAAACAAATAAGGTATGTTCGAAAAACAACTGTTTCTATTGGCTAGCGACCAGTAAAGTATGTTGAATTGGGTCGATTAATGAAGGAATTGCAAAGCTCCAACATTGCGACAAAGGGAAATAACTCTTACTCAAAATTACGTTAATCGAATATTCAATGGGAAAACTCCTTGTTAAATTACGTCAATCGAAAACTCTTACTCAAATTACGTCAATCGTTAACTATTTATTGTCGATAGTATTGATTGACAGAATTTAACTTTAGAATAATACAACTTCTGCGAATCGATTGAAACCAAAAACCAAACCACTATTAACATATGAACTTTTGATTAAAAGTACAACCACCAAGCCAGTTCTGTATTCTAATAGTAAAATTGCAATTGTATTTATACAAGTTACTAGTTACTACACCTGAAGTTGGTATTGTTACATTTATAGACAATGAAGTTCTGTTTCTATTTGCCACACCCTTGATCAACATAACAGAAGGGGATAAATCTGATCATATAGCAAAATCCTAGGTACTTTATTCATATGATTTGCACCACGTGACTTTGACCCTTTTGATTAAATTACTTCCCTTAGTTGTAGATTGAAAATATAAATTTTATCAAATTTGTGGATAATCCGGTCTTTTTCCGTTTTGGATCTAAATAACGTGTCTTTGAAAACTGTCTTTGGCGGATATTTACAAATTCTTTATGAAATTTGAATGACAGATGTTTAAAATTTGACTATTTACGAAATGGGAAGGATGTAATCATCATGTTTTTAAAAGAGTTTGGCCGATAACTTAAGAAAGCAGGTGAGATAAAAGTTAATTAATCTGAAAATTCAACCTTCAAGTCGTTTCCCTATATGCGGACAAATCATGAACAATGCCATCTTGTATCTTCATTAAGTCTCCCAAAAGAAGTTTGGGAAGACTTATTGGTTTTGCTCAGTTCTTATTATTCTTCTTCTTCTCCCGCCGCTTTTAAATTTGAACTTGTCCGCACCCGTTCTCCAAAACCGCTTGTCAGATTAACTTAGGGTTTCACAATATGCTAGACTAACATGTCTAGTGGTGCAATCAGGGTTTTGTTTGTGCATTAGGGTTTATAAAGGGGTACTTTGAGGGGCAAAAAGAAAGGAGGGTTTTACTATAGAACCCTATGGGATTTTATTTTTTTAAATTTTCAAATGATTATAAATTGAAAACCGTTTGTGATAGACACAATCTTTTTAATTGAAAATTTTCTAAATGATAAAGCACATTAAATGAAATATAGGGTTAGTCCCCAGGGGTCACCCACACCCCCTGCCATTTAAGAAAGTTCTAATATCTTGTAAATTGTCGAGATCCCCACCCTAAACCATATATATTCTGGTTTGTCATGCTAAGATGGTTTGAATGATATACAAGGTTAGTCCCCAGGGGTCATCCCGACCCCCTGCCATTTGAGAAAGTTCTAATATCTTGTAAATGGTTGAGATCCCCACCCCTAAACCATATATATTCTGGTTTGTCATGCTAAGATGGTTTGAATGATATACAGGGTTAGTCCCCAGGGGTCATCCCGACCCCCTGCCATTTGAGAAAGTTCTAATATCTTGTAAATGGTCGAGATCCCCACCCCTAAACCATATATATACTGGTTTGTCATGATAAAGCACATCAAATGAAATATAGGGTTCGTCCCCAGGGGTCACCCCCACCCCCTGCCATTTAAGAAAGTTCTAATATCTTGTAAGTGGTCAAGATCCCCACCCCTAAACCATATATATTCTGGTTTGTCATGCTATGATGGTTTGAATGATATACAGGGTTAGTCCCCAGGGGTCATCCCGACCCCCTTCCATTTAAGAAAGTTCTAATATCTTGTAAATGGTCGAGATCCCCACCCCTAAACCATATATATTCTGGTTTGTCATGATAAAGCACATCAAATGAAATATAGGGTTAGTCCCCAGGGGTCACCCCCACCCCCTGCCATTTAAGAAAGTTCTAATATCTTGTAAGTTGTCAAGATCCCCACCCCTAAACCATATATATTCTGGTTTGTCATGCGAAGATGGTTTGAATGATATACAGGGTTAATCCCCAGGGGTCACCCCCACCCCCTGCTATTTAAGAAAGTTCTAATATCTTGTAAGTGGTCAAGATCCCCACCCCTAAACCATATTTATTCTGGTCTGTCATACCAAGATGGTTTGAATGATATACAGGGTTAGTCCCCAGGGGTCATCCCCACCCCCTGCCATTTGAGAAAATTCTAATATCTTGTAAATGGTCGAGATTCCCACCCCTAAACCATATATATTCCTGTTCATCATGTCTCGAACATTTGAATG